AGGAAAACTTTTTTTAAAAGGTTACGTTGTATCTAAAAATCTGAAATGTCATAATTGCATCATAATAGCTGCTGTATAATTGGTAAATTCTCATGGCATATTTCTCATTATTTAACTGTTCCTTATGAAGAGAAATTCTTGTTTTTTTGCCGTGCTAAAAATATACTATTTCAATACTTTTAATTCATATATCTCTGCATCTGTCTTGTCTTCATCTCCATCATACTTAGACTTTCCTCAGTTGACTAATAATAATAAGCTAACTTTTTTGTCTCTTATTTCCGACCTGTACTTTCTTCTTTCTCCCAAACACACTGACTTTATCTGTGTTTACAGTTGTCTAAAATGTGACATGTATACACGTAGGTAAGGAAACGTCTTGAGCGTTGATGTACATGCTTACTATTCTGTCTTCCTTTTTCTTCCTCCCACTATTCTCATGGGAAGGGTTTTTTTTTTTTAGACAAGGACTGCTACATCTTCCTAGGTCTTACCCCTGCAGCACTTAGTTCACTGCCTGGAAAATAAGAGGTATTCAATATTTTACATTGATTATACTCTTGTCATTAAATTAGTATTAAGTCCTTTTTTTAAAAAAAAAGTCCGATTGATTTAAAATTATAGGCAGACTTGATTGTCATATGCACATGATGCTGTCTGTTGGTTTTATATATATTTTAAAACCTTCAAATGTAAAATTTTGAAGTAAAAGCAGATGTTTCACAATTGGGATTTTTGGGGGGATCAGATTTTAATTAAAAAGCAATGCATAGTAGTTTTAAGTGTTTATTTTACATATTACTCCTGAAAGGGTTCTTTAGATACAAGTAATATAATAAAAAACATTTGAATGTGACTGTAGAGATTGATATCTAGTAGGGTTTTATTTTATTTATGGAATGGAGCTCCTTTTATTTAACATTGTGATCTACGGATTAGGTTTTCAAGTGGCCAGTATGTTTTAAAAGATAATGTACTCTGTTTCCTTAAAATGCCTGTGTGTTACTAGTGAGGTTTTTTTCCTGCAGACACACACAAGCTAAGACATTTGGTTCTATCATCAGAAAACAATATGGTGTTTATAGCCTAGGTAGGTCTTTAAATATTCATTACCTACAGTATTACTAATTTATTCAATGGTATTTAAAGTGGTATAGAATTGCTTTGATGTTGAGCCTAAAGTTTTTCAAATAGTTGCTTTAAAGGTCTGTTTTCTGCTGTTCTCCATTCTCATTTGACATTTATTTTGGGGTAATATGTATTGGGTACCTTGTGATTTAAAAAAGCAAACAAATGAGATTTTGCTATGTAAAGCTGATGTTGGAACTGGACTGCCTGAGAGCTACCTTGTAGGACCCACATTTCAGACGTGTTGTGGGTAGCTCTAAATGCAGTGATTTGAGCCATGGTATATCTGAATCTGCAATCAACATTCAATTATAATGGTTTTCTATGATAGTTTACTTTCTTCATCTATCTGATGCATCAAAATGAGTAGAAATTGTGGGTCTGGGATTATACCTTGTTATGCAATGCCATCCCTTACAACTGTCTTTCCTGATACTCAAACGGAGGAAATAAACCAATGATTTAGAGTATAATCTGAATAAGGGCAACAGCAGAAGAAAATACGATTAAGTTCCATTATAATATTGACTAGCTACACCATGGATTTGCCTGTATTAATGGCTGTAATTAAGCCTATCAACTTAATCATATTGTCTGCTTATTTAAAATGTATTATCAGTGTCTCTTTTTTTTAAAAAAATATATTTTATTGATTTTTTACAGAGAGGAAGGGAGAGAGATAGAGAGTTAGAAGCATCGATGAGAGAGAAACATCGATCAGCCGCCTCCTGCACATCTCCCACTGGGGATGTGCCCGCAACCCAGGTACATGCCCTTGACGGGAATCGAACCTGGGACCTTTCAGTCCGTAGGCCGACGCTCTATCCACCGAGCCAAACCGGTTTCGGCTATTATCAGTGTCTCTTATGTAGTTGATCAATTCACCTGTACCTTTCCTGCACCTTGCCTCCTACCTTAAATGAAATACTGACAGATTGATAATTCATTAGATGCCCACTGAAGGGTATTGTTGCAAAATCTCTTCTTGTATAGGAACTTCTCAAGAACAAAAGTAAAAATATTATTTTATTAGAGAAATTTAGTTATAACATCTTTTGTAAAAATGCTGGTAATTTCAGCCCTGGTAGGGCTACCCTTTTCAGAATAAGAAAACATCCAATGGTGAAATGTGTGATTTGTCTTTTCTCTGAAAGGCATGATGTTCTTAACTTAAAATTCTGCCCAGTGGGACATAGGAAATAGTTTAGCAATGTGAACTTTTGCCTACTGTGCAACCGCGAAGTTTCTAGTCTTAAATTGAATTTTAACCCTGATGTTAGGGATAAAGGCATCACTTTCCACTTTTAATGCTTTAGTTCCCACAGTTCCTGTTCTTAGAAGATAAAATAGACCGAAGGTATGCCTTTCTTTTTTCTTGAGTTAAAAATCGTTTACTCTGAGTTGACCTCTCAATACAAAATTTGAGTCATTTGTCTTTTTCTGTTATTTTATATATGATTTTTGAGTTGAAATTTTATATTTAAACCCTTGGAACTTTAGAATAAATGGACTGTTTCATAACCAGAGCAGAAAGAAGTTTGCTGCTTTACTACAGAACTTTTAGTGGAGATATTTGAAAAATAGCAAACATTTTAAAACTAGGTTTTTCTATAAGTATTTAATGTCATTCTAAATGTTGGTTAACATTTTTGCTCTTTGGCATCAGTGATTGAGATGTAAGTTAATATATCTAAATGTGCCTCTAGAAATTCTTCAAAATTGTAACGTATTGGAATAGATGGCTTGAAATAAAAATCCTATGAAACAGTAACAGCTTTGATTGTGACTGTCATATATGGAAGGTAATTAATGCCTGTGCAACAAATCAAGGTTTTAAGCAGTAATACAAATTTAAAACTATTTAAAATTTGTTATACCACAATGTTCGTTTTAACTTTGTTACTTGTTAGCTTCAATATGTGAAAATTAGTTTTATCCACGCCAATTCTCTTAAAAATGAGCTAACTAGCACTTTATGTTAGATGAACATAGCACGCAGGAGACCAGGGTTACTTGTTCACTTTCTTTATAGAGAGGTCTACCTTGTACAAACAATAAATTATTCCATCCATGATTGCTCACAAACCCCCTATGAGTTGAAAAGGGACAGGTAGTTGTCTAGCTAACTCATACTGCTGGAAGAGGTGTGTCACTGTAAGCCCTAGCAATGGGTCTGTTCTACTTTAATTGTAAGGAAAAGATGGTATGGGTGGACCTAAACAAGTTGGTCACTGGGTTAGTCTTCTACTAATTAACATTGGGCTTATGTTTCAGTTTTAGTATAAATTAAAGGTATTAGTACCCATTGCAATGAAATTCTTAGCTGAACTGGAAAGTGGCTATTCATTCCTAATCAGATAATTTTCTTTATTACACGTAATTTTACCTTTCTCAGTCTGTTTCCTCCTTTCAAAGTGTTCCCATCTTAAAGCAGTTACGTATTTAGTATGTTAATAGATGCAAAGCTTATTTTGGTCTTGGTACTAAGTTTCCTTATGTTTCATATTAGGAAAATAAAACCGTATGTCCATTTACTTTCCAAAAGAAACTGTTAATTTTTATAAATATTGGTTGCTTGGTGAAGTTCATAACAGGGAAATTATAGGAATTACACCGAGTACCAGAAAGACTTAAAAGCTTGACAATTAAGTAAGCTAAATTACAATAAATCCATGGTACAAGAAAAACCAAGGTGGTCATCTCTGGGTGATGGTGTTCTTTTTTCCTTTGAAAAATTCATCTGTGTTTTAAACTTCTTTTTAGATAATGTTTTTTTAAATATATTTTTATTGATTTCAGAGAGGAAGAGAGAGGGGGAGGGAGATAGAAACATCTATGATGAGAGAGAATCACTGATCAGCCGTCTCCCCGCCACCATGGCTTTGTCCAAAAGGACATCCAGAAAGTTGTCTGGAAGTTTTTTGTTCTAATTAGCACATTACCCTTTTATTAGTATAGATTTATTTCAGAGAGGGAGGGAGATAGAAACATCAATGATGAGAAGCATTGACTGACTGCCTCCTGCACGCCCCACACTGGGGATCGAGCCCATAACCCAGGCATATGCCCTGACTGGAATAGAACAAACAAAAACCAATCCCAACTCTTTAGGCATAGTCAGAAGTATAGCTGTATTTGTCTTAAATTTTCTCAGAGTTTCTAAAGAAGTCTTTATATTTGCTTTATCTAGATAAATGCGTATTTTGTTGATTATGATGTGTTTTAGGCTAGGAAATTTTATTGTTTTACTCTGCTCTTCTAAAACAAAATGAGACATAATATCAACAATTTTATTTAGCAAGACAAAACAAACCCCTCTGATTTCTGTGTGTTTTGCTGTAACTTTAACTCTCTTTTTTGTTGTAATTGCTTTGGTTGGAGGTCTAAGATAAACTCATGTTATGTTCCTTTACATCTAATATAAAAGGATATCCCTTTACGATCAGGTGTTTTGATAAGTCAGTAATTGTGTGTGTGTGATATGCATTATTTTAAATTGTGCTTCACATTAAAAAATTGTAGTTATCTTGAGACTGCTTTAAGTTTTCAATATTTTTATTCTAATGAGATGAGAAAACTGCTTTTGGTATACATGGTTATGTTAATTTGTTCTTTATAAAAGTCTTTTCAAGTGGTTCATTAGTGGCCTAAGAATATTTGTTGCTTTCATAAATAAGGATTAATTTTACTTTCATAGAATCAGTCTTAATTGGAATATCTGTATGAAGACAGGAAGTTAAAATGAACTAAAAGGTGATGAGTTAAATAATAACACGTTAGAGCCAGAGCTGAAAGAAAATTACTGATTTTTTCTTTTTCTTTTTTCTCTCTTTTTTTGTGTCCAGATATGTAGGTAACCTCTCCAGAGATGTGACGGAAGTTCTTATACTTCAGTTATTTAGTCAGATTGGACCCTGTAAAAGCTGTAAAATGATAACAGAGGTAAGATCTTCCCAGTTGCACGTGCTGACAGCATGATGTTTAACATTTTGAGATACAGTACATGAGTTGACTAGTATCATTTAAAAATAACATTCTAAGTAAACCTCAAGTTACTCTGATGGAGAGATTCATGTTTGTTGTATTGACGTATTTGATCTGGCTGACAAACTAGGTTTGGAATGGAATTTTATTTGCAAGGACAAAGTTCCTGTGCTGGTACTCTCAAATGGTCGTTCTTCATGACGTGTTATCTTCAAGTGTTCTTGCTTGTAAAGAATTATTACAACTTATCTCAGAGTGTTGAAAAACTAGATGACAGTCCATACAATTCAACAAGAGTGTTACTGATTTAGGTAGTATAGGTTTAAAGTTTAGGAATTGGTGTATGTTGGGTTATTTGCAGAGTGCGACACTAAGCACCTTGTGTGTTTTTAGTAAATACTAATGACTGAGTAGCCTATTGTAGATAGGAATTTAAATTGTTAGCGTAATAATATTGTTTCAACACTTTTAAAAATTATTATTTACTGTGTACCAGGTATTATGGTAGGTCCTAGGGATATAAAGGTGAATAAAATAGTGTGGAGCCCCATAGAGTTTTAGAGTCTAATGAGGGAGACAGAGGAGTTAAGATACTAATGATATAGGTTAATAAGTGCTGTGGGAGAACATATGAGTTCCAGTACAGCCTTAGGTCTGGAGAGGCTTCTTAGAAGAGTCAGTGTCTAGGCTGAAACTGAAAAAGATATAAATGGAAACTGGCTAAAAAGGAATTTGAGGAAGAAGGGATTCCAGGTAGAGGAATGTTGATCTGGTCTGGTAGACAGCGTAAATGCTTGAAAGGAAAAGATAGAAATCGTAGCATGCTTGGAGTTTCCAATGGGGTTGGTTAGTCATAGAGGTGCCAAGAGATGAGAAGGAGTGTTCATTAGGGACCAGAAGCTGTACTCTAAGGAGTTTGTGTTATTTCCCGAGACAGAGGGGAAGTGTTAAAAATCTGCAAAGCAAATTGGTCTTTTGATATTTTTTTCCTAACTAATGATAATCATCAGTCTGTTCTGGTATATTATGTTTCCTCTTCTTCCTATTTCTGATTATTTATTCATTCATTTTTTCACAAAATTTACTTTGTGCTAGGCAATAGTCAAAGCTGGAACTATGAAGAGAATAAAGCAGTTCTGTGATGATGATTGGAGGGAGGTGCTATATGGGCTAGGTGGTGAGGGAAGGTGTCACCTCCGAGCTGAGATAGGAATAACAAGATGGTGCCATCTACGTGAAGAGCTAGAAGCAGAGGGCACAGCAGATACAAAGCCTGAGTTGGTTATGAGCTTGGTGTGTTGGTTCAATTAAAGACCCAGGATAGCTGAGCCTGGTGAGTGGGGAAATGGTGGGAAGTGAGTCTAAAGAGATAGGCAGGCAGGGTTTGGCATCACTTAGGGCAGTACAGGCCATGACAGAGAGTGGATTTTACTCCGGTTGCAGTGGGGTTTTAAGTAGGGTAATGTATTCTGATTTGTATTTTTAAGGTACTATATTTGGAGAATGACTGTTGTGTGGAGAATGGATTGTAGGGGCAAGAGTGGAAGGAGGGAAACCAGCTGAGTTTATTTCACTAGTCTAGTTAAAGTGGTGATGTGGACTTGTTCTCTAGAGTGGTAGCCATAGAGATGGAGGTATATAAACTTGGTGTATATTTTGGAGATAGAATAACAGTAGTACTCGACTGGCTGTGGGACATAATGGGAAAGAAGACTTCAAGAATGACCCTAAGATTCTTTTTTTAAAAAATATTTTTATTGATTTCAGAGAGGAAGGGAGAGGGAGAGAGAGTCAGAAACATCAATGATGAGAGAGGATTATCAATTGGCTGCCTCCTGCACGGCTCCTACTGGGGATCAAGCCCACAACCCAGGCATGTGCCCTTGACTGGAATCGAACCTGTGACCTTTCAGTCCACATGCCGATGCTTCATCCACTGAGCCAAACCGACCAGGGTGACCCTAAGATTCTTGTTTGTGCAATTAAATGGATGGTAATGCTACTTACTTGCTAAAGTGGGCATGACTAGGGGAGGCACAGGATGGATGGGGGGAGTGGTGGGAATCAGGAGCTCTGTTTTGGCAATGCTAATTTAAGATGTGTGCTAGACAGTTAAATGGACATGATATGTAGGCAGTTGGATAAACTAGTTGGATACTTGAGAGAGACCAGTGCTGATGATACCAGCTTGCAGTAGTATTTGAAGCCGTCGGACTAGGTGACATCTAGTTCCTAGATCCAGAGAGAGAGTGTGCTGTAGAGAAGAGTAGAGGGACCCTGGAGCATCTCAACACTTAGACATTTAGTCTGAGTTAAGGAGGAGGAACTACCTTTTGAAAGAACTACCCCCCCCCACCCCACACCACC